AGCATTAATGCTCACTGAGCTTGGCTGAGGGAAGAATAAATGAGTGAGGTCAGATGGAGGCATCCTGACATTTACAGGCAAGACATGAAGGTGGTTGCCATAGGTATTACTAACTTGTTTATTTATCTCACAAATATTCTTATAGAGGAGAGAGAGATGAATTACCTCCAGTCTTTCCCCAGAAGCTTGCTAAGAACACAGTATGGGAGTAAAGGGTTCAGAGGATTTGGATGCGAAGATAAGAGGGAAAGTAGTCAGAGAATAGGAGCTGGGGATTGGCTGGGGCATGATGGAAGGCATCCTGGAGGAGGAGGCATGTGTGCTTGCCTGGAAAACAAGGCACATGTCAATGAGGAATGGCTTCTTTTCCACTTGGGCATGTTGGATCATCTGTGGCCACCTGCTGGGTTCCTGAGTGTCACCTTCAAACACTCACAAATGCAAACTCCCATCTTTTCTGGCCACTAGTTTCTACCAAAAGAGGAGGCTTGGGAACTTACTCTAAAGGAATGAGCGACTCAGGCCCTGGGACTGAGGAACTTGGAGGGCAGTTGTTTCCCTAGCCCTCTCTGGTGTTTCCGGGGTCTTTCCTCTCACCCTCCCTCCCTCTGTTTCTTTCCTTCTTACCTCAGGGCCTTTGTTTGGGCAGTGTCCTCTGCCTGGCACCCTCTGTCCCACCCTCTGCTCTATGATCTTCATCCTTCACTGCAGTCCAAGCATGGCTTCCCTTTGGAGACTTCCCTGACTCTTCCCCACGTGAGCTCACTTCCCTCCCCCATTGTACGTGGCCACATGTATGTATTTCTATGTTCTTTTTTTCTCCTGAGCATCAATCACAGTTTGTAATCCTATGTTTGTGTCATCACTTGATTAAAGTGGGCTGTCCCCTTTAGAATATGAGGAGAGGCCTGTCTTGGTCATCACTATATTCTGTTTGTTTTTTTTAATTGTATTTTTAAAAATATTAAAATAAATAGGCCATACACAGTGGTTCATGCCTATAATCTCTGGTATTGGGAGGATCACTTGAGGCCGGGAGTTCAAGACCAGTGTGGGCAACATCTCTACAAAAAATTAAAATTTAGCCAGGCATGGTGGCTCATGCCCATAATCCTACAGGCACAGTGGCTCATGCCCATAATCCTAACACCCTGGGAGGCCGAGGCAGGTAGATTGCCTGAGCTCATGGATTCGAGACCAGCCTGAGCAAGAGTAAGACCCCGTTCCTAAAAGTAGCTGGGCCTTGTGGTGGGCACCTGTAGCTCCAGCTACTCGGAAGGCTGAGGCCAGGCAAGAGAATCTCTTGAACCCAAGAATTTGAGGTTATTGTGAGCTATGATGCCATAGTACTATACTGAGGGCAACAAAGTGAGACTCTGTCTCAAACAAACAAACAAACAAAAAATTTAAAATTTAAAATAATTAGGTGGGTATATATGGTGGGAGATACCTCTAGTCCCAGCAACTTGGGAGGATGAGATACGAGGGTCACTTGAGCTGGGGAGTTTGAGGTTACAGTGAGCTATGATGGTGCCACTGGCCTCTAGCCGAGCAAGACATTGTCTCAAAAAAAAATTATTTAAAAACATCTTATCTGGTACAGAGTAAACATTTTATTAATATTTGTTAAATCAGTGAATGATGGTCAGGAGTTTAGGAGTGTCCCAAATCTTCTTTAGGAAGTGACAGACTTTAATCCTTACCTTTCGTGTAAAGATAATAAGCAGAGGTGCTGGTGAAGTCCTGGAGAGCTAGGCTCCTCCTGACTTGCAGTCCTCACCAAGGCAGCCTGTTTTTTTTTTTTTTTTCTTAGAGACAGAGTCTTACTTTGTTGCCCTCGGTAGAGTGCCGTGGCGAGTGCTGTGGCATCACAGCTCACAGCAACCTCCAGCTCTTGGGCTTAGATGATTCTCTTGCCTCAGCCTCCTGAGTAGCTGGGACTATAGTCGCCTGCCACAACACCCGGCTATTATTTTTGTTATTGCAGTTTGGCCAGGGCAGGGTTCACACGCGCCGCCCTTGGTATATGAGGCCAGCGCCCTACTCACTGAGCCACAGGTGCCGCCAGCCTGTGTGTTCTTACAGGCTCAGCTGATGGGTGCTGAGGCTGACTTTCAGAAAGCCAGAGCAGGAGACAGCCAGTCCTCTCCTGGAAGGCCCTGCAGAGGGGCCTCTGAGTATGTATGGAGTCCTCAGGGAGGGTCTCCAAGGACCCCTGGTGCATACACTTGAGTCGACCCTGCTCCTAAGCCTTTACTTTGTGCCAGGCCTTACTTGGTGACCAGACAGTGACCTCGCCTGTGGAGGCTCTCAGTGAAGGCAAAGTTTTGCCCTTCCAGGGCTGTGAGCTGGGAAGAGTCCAGCTCCTGAGTTCCCAGCCTGGAAGAGGGCGCAGGCCCAATGCCTGGCTGGGAGAGGCCTCCCTTGAGGGGGCAGTTGGGCATATCTGTTGGGGCAGGCTGAGGGCAGGGAGGAATTGGGGCCTACTCAAAGGGGGGCTGAGTGAAGCCTCCATAAGAGTCCTTAGTAACTGGCTGATAGGAAGGTTTTATTGAGTCTGGGGCCAGGCTGGCAGAATGAGGAGAGCTGAGGAGTATAATTGAAAGTGTGGGCAGGAAGAAAGAAGTCTCTTAAACGTGGGTGAGATTTCTCTGACAGAGAGGAAGTTGGTGGGAGCACAGGGCCCAAGGCCATAGTCAAGCTCTGGCAGGAGTGACGTGGACCAGGATGATCGGGCACTGCAACAGCTGAGTAGGAACAGGCTAAGCTATCTTCCATGTGTATGTGTGTGTGTGTGTGTGTGTGTGTGTGTGTGTGTATGTATGCACATATGTGTATGCTTAGATGCATGGAAGCTGTGAAATAGGGTCGTTTGGTGGATGCTGACTGATGGAAGAGCACTGCTGGGCAGACAGACTGGGCTATGAGTCCCCTATGCTGCCAGTCTCCGTGACCTGTGGGACTGGTCCCCATGGGATGGGTAGTAGTCAAAGAAGGGTCTCTGAGGATGATGTCCTGTGGGCAGGAGCAGGCACCTGTCCTGTGGAAGGCCAGTGTCACAGGCTGCCAAAGGAGGGACCCAGGAGTTAGGCTGGGGACATCTGGTCAGAGACCAGCTTTTGCCTTGGCCCACATATGGAGTATCTAGTCACTCAGGGTGTGGCCTCACCTCAGTGTACTCTTGGGTCAAAATTGATGTGGGATCCTTTTTCTCGGAGGGCTTAGGAGTCTCTGAAGAGCCTTCCCATAGAGTTTTCTGGGACCCCTGAGCCTGTCAGTCTGCACAGGGGCTCAGAGAGGCCAACACTCATGTGAAGGCCTAAAGCTGGTGTCTTTGTTCAGACATCAGTGCCCACATTGCAGTTGTTTCAGGTAGGACAGTTGACGAAGCAGCAAGTCTTGGTTGTCTCAGTGACATGATACTCCACGGTTTGTGCTCTTTGGTCTGGCCTCATTCCTTCCATGGGGGTTAGGGCTTGACGTGATTGATGAAGTCTAGTCTATGGCAGAAGTGTCCTGGCCGGGGTTGGGGGTCAGATCTAGCATCTACATGGGTGCCTTTCAGCATGAGAGCTGACCCATGCTGGTGTTCACCTCTGGGCTGAGTTTCGGTAGTGCTTCCAGTCAGCCCTGTGTGAGCAGTGGGTCCTAGAAAGTCCTGGGAATGACGTGCCTCCTGGGGCCATTTCTCACTGGCAACTTCTGCCCTGCATGCTTATGTTTATTGGGCAGTTCAAGCCCAATTCTTTCATCCCATTTTTAAAAAATTGATAATTCATAATATTTTCTTTGAAATGTAATCACCATCATCATAGATTCACAATGTGAATAGCTAACAACACAAAACACATAGGGAATTTAATCTTGTACTTTCTTAATTTACATTTTTGAATAGGTAATACAGTTAAACTTCTGAAACTAAACCAAACAAAGAAGCACACTACAAAAAGTCTCGCACTGACTACAAAAGTCACTCAGTTCCTACCTCCCCAAATAGGTAACCACTATAAATGTTTCTCATATATCCTTTGGAGATATATACTTAATATATATATATATATGTGGCACATAAAATCTTATTTTCTTCCTCTTTTACAGAAAAGGTTGTATATGATACATGCTGTGCTGTGTCTTGTTTTTTACTTTTCACATAACAATATATCTTGAAGATCTTACCAACTCACAGAGTGAGTCCTCATTCCTTTCTGCTGCTGCATGGTATTCCATTATGCAAGTATGCCATAACTTACACAGCCAGGAGCCCCACAAATAAACTATTGGGTTGTTTCCGGTCTTTGGCTATAAGAAACCTATACATATATTACTTCCCATATGTGTAAATCAGCTGTAAAATAAATCCCCCAAAGCACTATCACTATATCAAAGAGAATGGGCATTTGTGATTTTGATAGAATTTGTCAAAGTGTCTAGCACAGGTGTATGACCAGCTTCCACCGGGATTATATGAGAGCGTCTGTTTTCCAACAGTCTTCCTAGCACAGTGTTTTATTGACTGGTCACATGATGTGGTGCCAAGGTCCAGGATAAGGACATCAGCTCTGAGAAGAACTGTACCTCCAAGGGGTGTCATTTCAGTACGGGGAGGGCAGCAGCTCTTGATGACTAAGCTTCTGAGTCAGCAGAGTTCGTATTCAGGCAAATCATTTAATCTTTCTGGGCCCCAATTTTCTCATCTGCAAAATGGGGAAAGTAATAATCTGTGTTGGGCATCATTGTAAGGAGTAGATGAGATGGTGCTTGTCAAAGGGGCTTTGCACAGTACTGGGCCTGGGCTTATGGGCGGCTGGCTCTGCACTCATGGCTGGTGCCCTGGGTAAGGCCAGACCCTCACCTGAACCCCTGCCTGTTCGCTGTCTTGTCAGAGAGGGAGCTGGGCCCAGGGGTCTCTCACCGTTCTTCCCAGTCTCAGGTTCTGATCTGTCTCTCTTTAGCAACATGTATAACCTCCTCTCACCCTTCCTCTTTCATGCTCATCAAAGGCATTCAGGAGTCTCCGGTGCCGAACGGTCACTCACTTCCAGGCAGAGATTTCCTCCGGAAGCAGATGCGGGGAGACCTGTTCACGCAGCAGCAGCTGGAGGTGCTGGACCGTGTGTTTGAGAGGCAGCACTATTCGGACATCTTCACCACCACGGAGCCTATCAAGCCTGAGCAGGTATGCCCGCAACTCATGCCCACCACAGCTGCCACTGACACACAGGGCCGCTCTCCTGAAGGCAGAAGCATCTGGCAGGGTGTGAGTGAAGGTATTCCGGGCTTTGCTGACAGTGGGCTTTTCATTGGTCTTCGTCAAACTTGGCCAGTTACAACATCCCACAAGGTCAGAGGACTTGTTTGGGGCTCTGGTGGCTTCTTGCCCTGGTGCCCTCTGTCCCTCTGTCAGCCAGGGGGTAGGTGACTTGCCTGGCTGCTTTGCTGTTGCTGAATGGTATCTTTTCCCAGGGCTCTTTGGACAGGGGTTGTAATGATCATCTGCCCTAGTTGAGGTGGTCTTGGGTCATTATCTTGTCAGTCAGGGTGATGGTGGAACTATGTAGCCCCCAGTGGCCTGGAGGCTCACTCGCCATAAGCAATGTTAGGATGGTACTGGTGTAGCCCTCTCTTGGGTCAGCACTCTTGTCAGGTCACCAGCATGCTTTTAGAGACTGAATCCAGGAGTCAGCAGATGAAAAACATCTCTCACACTACAAACTCCCTCCTGTGGGATTTGCAAGAGATGGTGGGAAATAGCAGGACCGCCCCAGCTGACAGCCAGCCTGTGTGACCCTGGGCAGAGGAGCAGTCCCTGCTGTGGCTGTAAAGATGGGACCAGAAAGGCCCTTCCCAAGAGGCTCTTGGGGCTTGAACAAGGTCTTTAAAGTTCCAGATTAAATTCAGAAGATGATTTCCTAAAGTTCGGTGTATGCCAGGCCCTGACTGGTTACCTTGCATGCAGTATGGTTCTGGCCTGCCAAGAGCTCCCATCTGGTAGTCAAAGAGACACTATAAACAATAACTTTTCCCAGGATTTTCCTAGCTGGTGCTGGTGGTGAGGACTGGCCTTGCTGAGCTTTCCCTAACTGCTAATTCAATGATGCTTCTGGAGTTTTCCCTCAAAGCATTCAAAATAGCCTGGGCCCATGCACAAGCTTCCAGCTAAAAGTGCTGGAGGGAACCTTGGGTGCTGAGGTGTGACCAAGGCCTCTGGGCCATCCTCTTATGACAGTCTGGCTCTCTCTGGGCAGGTCCTCTGAGGGCTTTTACAGATCATTTAGCTACTTTGTTTTCAGATGGGGAAACTGAAGCCCAGAGAAGCAAAGTAACTTGTCCACAGCTACCCAGCAAGTCATGTATTCATTTAACAAATATCCATTAGTATTTGCTTTCTGTAAGGCACAGAGCCAGGCACTAGGATACATCAGTAAACAAGACAGGTTGGACTTGCTCTTAGGGAGCCTACAGACTTGGGGAAGAATCACAATAAATAAGAATTACCCAAAGGGTTGTGGCTTACGGGTGTGCTTGGTGCTGAGGAGGAAATGTCTGAGGTTCTTAGAGGCCGTGCCAGCCTGTAGGCCACAGCAGCCTCCTGGAGGAAATACATTATGCTGAGCCCTGAAGGCCTTGAGTGAACACAGAGAAGGGGTGTGGGTTGCAGGGACCATGCCTGGCAGAGGGAACAGCAGGTGCAAAGGTCCTGAGGTGAAGTCTGTTTCCATCACTTACAGCCTGTCCCCACTGCTCAGAGTCCTTCTGAGGGATGGCAGAAGCCATATTTTATCTGACACAGGAGGGGAAAGAGAGAGGACTCAATCAGGAAGCCTTCCTGGATGAGGCCTACTTTTCCCTACAGTAGGGAATCTGGGAGAAAATTTATCATCTAACTATTGACACATAATTTTAGGGCTCACAGTGACCATGGAGGCAAGCTCTCAAGACCCTTGTGTTTTAGAGGTCCAGAGGGAAGACAGGGCTTATCTGAGGTTACCCAGCAAATGAGTGGTAAAGATCATAGTGGTGAGAGTAGTATGGTAATGAGTGGTAAAGGGGCAGGCCTCTGCACTCAGCCTGGCCTACACAGCACAAGCCCCTGGCATTTCTGTTAAGCTTGTATTTTGTTAATGCGGACATGTGGTATTAGAGACTCCTATGTGCTTCTCATCATTCCCACTGCGACTCAGAATCTCAACCATAGTTCGTTTAGCTTAGATTGCCCAGGAAGACTGGCCAGAGACTTTTGGGCTGAATCACTGTGTGGAGTCCAAAGCCACCCTGAATTCACTTACTCATCCTCAGATGTGCATATGCTCATTTATCCAACATATTTCCTGCCCATGGGGCTGTGAGCCTGGCACAGTGCCACACACCCATCAGCTCTGCCCAGCCTCGCAGGGGCAGTATGATGTGGACCCAGAGGCTATAGGACATGAGGGAAGGCTCTGTGGATGCCGATGAAGTGTTGAGCCAGAGAGGGCTAAGATGGCTTGCTGGCAGCATCCAGAACAATGGTCTGGGGTGGGGGGCAGTGTTGGCTGGGGAATAGGATGGTCAGGTCTGATGGGCTCATGCCATGCCACGAGGGGGTCCCAAAGAGGAGAAGGCCTGGATTATAAACTCTGTGAGGGCTCTGATTCCAGCAGTGTCCTTGAGAATGATGTGGGCATATCTGCAGAGCCCACGTCTCTGATTGCTTGGGCGCTGATGAGGGGCCCACAGGTGACCCTCCAGTGGGATAATGACTGACTCAGTGTTTTCTGGTTAATCTGCTTCACCTCCTGTAATGTGCCTTAATCAGGAGAGATGGGAGGTGAGGTTGCAGGGCCGCCCTGCATGCACACACACAGGCACTGGACTATGAATGACATACCCTCATGCCCGATTCCCAATCACTTTGGACAAATGATGCCCGAGCAAGGGGCTGCAGGCTGGGCAGGGATGTGAGTCAAGGGTACCAGTTCCTTGAGTCCCTCATACTTGTGTTCTGCTGGGTGAATATTCCACAGGCCTGGTATTATGAGGCCCAGTGCCCACATGGCAGTGGGATGGGAAGGGGACCTAAGGCACTAGCCATGGAGCCTGGCTGCCTCTTCCTTTCTGAGCAGATCAAGCTGTCTGAGTCTGTATCTCCATGGCCTTCTGGCCTCGGTGCCAGCCTTGCTGTCACTTTCATCAAGCACTCTGGTAGGGAAGAGCATTTACTGGCCTTGGACTCAGGGGAGCTTGATTTGTGTCCTGGCACTGCCCTATTTAGCAAGGCACTTTGTTTCTGGACCTTAGTTTCTATATCTGTAGTAGTAGTCATGATTTTGATGACAACAACAATAGCAACAATAATGGTAACAACAGCAACCTGGGTGGCACCTGTGGCTCAGTGGGTAGGGCGCTGGCCCCATATACCCAGGGTGGTGGGTTTGAACCCGGCCCCAGCTAAACTGCAACAAAAAATAGTCAGGCGTTGTGGCAGGTGCCTGTAGTCCCAGCTACTTGGGAGGCTGAGGCAAGAGAATCACCTAAGTCCAGGAGTTGGAGGTTGCTGAGCTGTGACACCACAGCACTCTACTGAGGGCAATAAAGTAAGAGTCTGTCTCTTAAAAAAAAAAATGGTAACAACAGCAACTTAACAGCAGTTATCTTCCTCATCTATCCTGACAGTATACAGTTTTCAAAGAGCTATCACATCCATTTTCTCACTGGACCTTTCATTTAAAAGCCTACTAAACAGGCTGGGCAAGAGATGTACAGATCAGAATCCATTTTACAGATTAGAACCTTTCATTCCAGATTATTCACCCCATTTTCAGGCCCCAGGAGTTTCTGGGATTGTTGAGAGCAGATATCTGACCTTAGGATCTTCTGTCTTCATCTTGTGCAGGATAGTTCCACGGGCCTCCATGACCCAGATGATTCTAAGAGCCAGTTTTCTGACTGGCTGGTTTTCAGGACTGCCAGAGACTGCCTATCATTCCAGAAATCACCACAGTTAGAGAGCTCATATCCTCCTAAGTACCCCCCACGCCATCCCAGGAAGAACTTCCCCTTTAGGGCCAGGCTGGGGTCCTGGCAGTTGTTTTCCTGAGCTGAGAGCCTGCCCCTAGCTTGTTGCTTTTCTTGCCAAGATGCCCCCTGGGTGAGTGGGCCCAGGCTTCTGCCTTGAATAGGGAAACATAGTAAACCATTTGCCCTGGGTGGAAGGAGTTAATGTAGACCCACTCTTGGGGCAATGAAACACTTCCTTTTCAAAATGGTTATTGAAAAAGCAATTCTGTTTTCCCTACATGTGGACTGAGTAAAAATCACCTTAGAGGAGGAGAAGGAAAAAAAAAAAAACAACTGCTGGTGTGTATGTGGGCATGTGTGTGTTTGTGCGCATGTGTGCATGTGCCTGTGTGTGTTTCTGACAGCTGAATCTGTTTCTGTAAAACTCACATTGATGCTGTCGTGGGCCAGCACTGCTGGTGGCAGCGGGTCTCTTCTCTGGCCGCGTGGGAAGACCGCCGCACAGCCTGCCGTATTTACTCTCGGCAGACTATTAACCAACACCAGGCTATTAATCTGGCTTTTGAGCCTTCACTAAAGCCCATAAAAGCTCACAGTTGTCAAATGGAGTTCATTTTAATTTCCTTTCAATCACAGTAAATTATTCAGGTGATAAATCAGCTGGAGCAGCCTCCTGGCTGTAATAGAAACCCTAATTCCTGGCTAATTATCCAGCCCATTGCTGCCAGCAGATCAATACGGGCGCAAAATGGAACGGGCCAGGGCCCTCCCTCCCATCGGGCCAGAGACAGAGAGACAGCTGGGGAAGGGGACATGCTGCTGACCTCCCAGGAAGTTCAAAGGTCACAGGGGTTAAACCAGGAGAAGATCTGTCCGTTGTCTAACAGAGAAAGCTACCAGCAATGGCTCCTGCTGTCATAACCTGTATTGCCCTGTGAATGGTGGCATTTCTCCAGGATAGTGGGCTGAGAAGAATCTTAGCATCACCCACCCCTACGGGCATTCTATTCCTGGGAAGGGTTGGCATGACTGAGGTTAGTCATCAGTGGTGGCCTGAATCCTGACCATGAGTCAGAAAAAGGACTGGGTCCTATGGGCAGACAGTGAAAGGGCTGGACATGCCTGCTTTCTTCAGGGAGCTCATTTTCCTCCATAGTGGATCTGTGTCCCACTATGAGG